AGTAGTTTTGTAGTAAACACAGTCTTGTAGAGTTACTTACCTGTAATTATTTGAGGGCTTTTTTTGTAGAACACAAAAATTCTGCTGTAGCATTTCTTACATCTCCCTCTTTTCTGTACTTATATCTGAAATATCGTTAAATTTAGAGTTGCAAGTTGTGTTTTAAAGGTTATTATGCTGGACATTATTTTTCATGTAGAGCAGGTATGATCTCTTGTGTAAATAAAACTCACTGTCTCCCAAGAACAACTAATAATATTGTAAGTTGAACTCCTTGTTTTTGTTTGTTTGTTGGGGGGGAGGGAAGTAGGTGAAGAACAGATTGTTTCTGTAGCTATTTGACCAGGTGCGTAAGCACTTGGGTTGACAGTTTGGTACTTTCTGAATGTCTTTGGTGTTTCATTTATTCCTGCAAATAAGAAAAACTAAACCTGTAGGTTAGGAAGGAGTTTTCTAAAGCTTGCAAGCAGTTTTTTTCTGCTCGAAAAAGAAAAACCCACCTAGCCACTGTTCACCTAACATTTATGCCCATCTTAAATATCTCAGGAATAATAATTGTTTCCATTTGAAGTACTTACAGGGCTGTTATGTTGTTTTCAGTCATGTTAAGTCAGTCATGAGCCTCTAAGAATTCAAAATATTTTCTGAGGCTTAATATAGAAAATAGACACCATTTGCATTTTTATTTCTCACATTTCATAACTAGTAGGCCTTTGTAGAAACATGAAGTATAATGTTCAATATATTCTGCCAAAAAGTTTTCCTTGCTGCCCTAAACAATTTGAAGATAGAGGGGACGGGGCATTTTGCAGGATTTGGCAAGCCTCTCAGTTCAAGTGTGGTATAGCAAATTCACAAAGTGCAATTTTTTAGGTGGTCCTAAAATGAGCTGTGGGCTTTTCATTTTTTTTTTTTTTTATGGAACACTTGAAAGCTCTGTTTTCTGTGAGTACTGTCGGCTCTCCTTCCTTCACAAGCTGTATCAAAGTCCTGTTTCTACTTTAAAGTGGAAACTAAACTATCAGAAACCTACTGTGTTGCTCATGTTCTCAGCCGTTGCTGGTAATGGGAAGAAAAGTTCTTCTTCATGGTTTTAGAAAAAACTTCTTGAACAGTCACGGGACACCTACAATTTTTTATATCATTAGCTTTGCCATGTTATATTCTTAGTGTCATGGAATTTGAAGAGGGTGCAGAAGTAAGATTTCAGCTGTGAACCGGGAGCTGGATTCACTTCTACTTCCTTTCAGTTCAGCCCTCTTGTAGAGGAATGTTGTCTGCTGGTGGAGTCTACAGAGTGGGTTTTTCTTGGTATCGTTTGATTTCCAGTAGCAGGAGGCAGAGATGCTACTAGAATTTCTGTGGGCTTTTCACTGCAGCAGTTATCTTACTGCTTATCATACTTTCTTCATTTAAACATGGACCCTGCCATTTCTTGCATGTTGTCTGCATGACTGTGAAAACGTGTTTACTATCTTTCCTTCAAGTAGTATGTAGGAGAGTTTTGTGGACCTAAAAGTAGCGGCTGTAAATGTCTCTTTCTTCCCTACCTGTCTAGGATACAGTAAAAGCCTGTTTGTCTTCACAAAGAGGATTTTTCTGTTCAAGCCAAAGAGTTTAATTATAAAACTCATTACTTGCCAATACGCGCTTCTTTTATTCTTTAGATAATTTTACTAGATCTCTGAATTTCAAATACAATTTCTTATTCTTTGTGTTATCAGCAGCATTCACAAGTGTAATATATTGAAATTCATATCAGGAGATATATATATGGTTTGGGGTTTGTTTTTTTTTTTATGTGCTTATTAATTGGTGTTTAAGTGCTTCAGACTTGCAGAAGGGAACAAACCCTATTGCCTGTATGCAAAAAGCCACAACTTTTGCTGCCCTGTCACATTAACCAAGACAACAGCCTATAAAAGTATAGTAAGTGCTTCTTCTGTGTTGGGTTTTGTAATTTTTAAAAAGTTTGACTAATATTTCCTCTAAAATGTAACAAAACAAAAAGATACATATGTATATATATTTTCTTTAGGTGTGGTTCTGCTGATTTTGATTTCATAAAGTAGAATAGAAAATACTATGTTATATGATATATAAATTGAGCTAGAAAGTGGAAAACTGGTGCACCAGTAGGCTGGCAGTGTGGGTGTGATTAGCATCAGCTGAGGAAAGTTTTGTGTTTCCAGAAAGGTAAGGTTTCTGTTCCTAGTGTGTTGAATGTATTTCTTTCCTCAGTTATATAGCATTCAAACATTGTGCACAGAAGATGTTTGCTCGTATGTTTTTTTTAAGTCATCTTTAACTGTATTGAAGGAGGTAATGTTACCACAACCTACTTTATTTAAAGACATGAATACATTTTTTAGTGTATTGTTTCAAATTTGCAGAGGTTTGTATTTGCATAATTTACATGCAGTTCAAGAGATTTGGGTCTCTGTGGATGTTGTCCTTGTTACACTAACCTCTTATTGTGAAGTATTCTCAGCACGTGTATTATTCAAGTTTCAGAGTGCTAGCAACTTGTGAAAGATATTAATGCCTTCTGATTATGGTAATATGAAACATCAAGGCAGTATTTATCATATACATTTAGAGAATTAATGGACCATTAGGACTTTACATCCCGTTTGACTCCAGCAGTCAGGTGGTCCAGGATTACACTGCTGATTTTTATGGAGAGGCAACGTGTTTCATAGCTGAAGTTTTATGATGCAACATTCTCACTCACAACTAGGTTGATGAAGACGTAGTGGTAGTGGAAAGCTGCCTAGTATCTCTTCTAGAAGTTAGTGTAATTCATCTTACCTTAATTGAATAGATTTCTAAGGAAAGGCTTTTCTTGGCTTTTTTGTCAGACAAAGAGGAATTCTTCAGATTGCTTTTCAGGGTTCTGGCATTTCCAAATTATTATTGATATTACACAGAAGAGATTGAGATTTTGTTTTTATAGTATTAACTGTATTCCTTGCTGTATCTGATTTGGTAGTAGAAATAATGTTAATAGGACTTCACTGTATTTAATTTCATGTCAATGCTACCATACAGGTGCTTGGATCAGTATGCTGTTAAGGCATGATGTTAACTAATACTATTCTACAACATACACAGTAATAAGTTAGCAGCAGTACTGGCGCTTTAAGTGGGAATTCGTACTTGTAATTATATTTTCCATCATATTTTAGTAGTATCTGCAAAGGTTAATATTTCCATTTAAAACTATTAGTGATTTACAATCTGATCTTGGTGAATGATTAACAAAAAAATGGTTAAGGTTTCCGAAAGAAGGTATGGATAAATGTTTAACTGCTAAGTTTTCAGAATAGACAGTTGAGAAGTCAGTGAGATGGGCAGTTTGTCCTGTAATGGGTCTTACAGAATTTTGCAGTTTTAAACTTCTTTGCTGAAATGCTTCGTGACAATAAAGCCTGCAAATGTTGCTTCTTTTAATGACTTCTATTAGTTCATACCTGTTTAGTAAGAAAGTAATGAGTATGTGAAAGCTTTTAATGGATGTTTCCATATTCAGGTGATGTGATGTAGAAGAAACTCACTCTGGATCTTGTGTAGCATTTAACTCCTGACTGAGAAAGCACAGAACTCTTTCATAGTTGTTGAACAACATAAACAAAAATCTGTTGGTTTCGTTGTGTGGTGCTGAGCCGAAAACAAGTGGTGTCCATTTTAATTCTGCTGAAGCTGGATGAAAGTCCTTATGTCAAACACAGAAATTGCTTTTCAGAATTTTTAAAGGGATGCCCATTAAGCAAAAGTGTGTGCTTTAATTCCTGTACTCAATTTGGCTTGTGCATAGACTTAAGAAATGCTGGTTCCCATTTATGTTCACTGAAATGTGTTAACAGCTCAGACTGACTTCAGTGTACTGTATTGTGACATTCTGTAATAGAGTAAAATTAATAAAATGTATATTGTTTCAACAGCTAAATCGCGGAAGTTCTGCTCACGTTGTTGGTCGTATTTGAATACTTTGTCGACAGGCTTACTTGTAAAGATAACAAATGTCCCTGTGCTGATGACTTCTGAGTTCTTTTGCTGTGACAAGCCTTTCTCTTAACTGATCACTTTGTTTGCAACTTGATTACAAATTAGTCACTTTTTTTTTTTTTAAGAATTCAGTTTTGCATGCGTGACTCTCTCAGCCAGCTCTGTGACCTGGTTTTACTTTTTGTGAGTGTAAAATGCAGCAGAGTGTGTAGAAGTAGTTCTAAAACTCTGCGGTTGGTTTTCTGGCTCTCTGGGTAAATCTAAGACTCTGTCTATAGGCTTCATAGGTATTTCAAAACTTGGAACTATTTTTAAGGTTTTGTAAATAAAGAAATCGGGAAGTATGGGTGATACTAAAATCACACTACCAAAATTTGGGGAAGATTTTAGAGAGGTGGTAGCTGTTGAGATAGATGTTGTGCGGAGAATCCCTGTGGCTGCAGATATTGCCTTGCGTATTGGTGAGTGGGCTGGTTTTCCACATGTTCAGAAAAAAAGAAAGATTGGGTTGATCGCTTGCAAGGCAGCACAGTAGCTACTGATAGCTACTACTGAACGGACAGGAGTTAGCTGTAGGTTCGTACTCTAACTCAGAAGTAGTTTTGATTAGGTGCTCATTGGGAAGTGAAACTTAAAACATCTTTGTCCTGTTGGTTACTTATTCTACCCAACATTCTTGAGTAGCATTCTTCCTTTTTTTGACATTTCTCTGCCAAAGAAATGACTGACACTAGATATCAGTACCCAGTATTATATCTGTATCAAGCTTCATGTTCTCAGTTGTGTGGCGAACTTTAGAATTTAGAAACTACATGAATGTTACATTAAAACTGTATAATGAGATAACTTGTAAATACTGTCTTTAAGATACCTGGGATATTTAAAGGGATGTTCTTCATAATCATTTAAGATTTTAAAATCGTATTTACATTTGAAAATATTAAAATTTCTGGTTTCAAATGTTGGTTTTTTATTTCTTTGTGTAGCTATGTAGGAAACCTCTCCAGAGATGTGACTGAAGTTCTTATACTTCAGTTATTCAGCCAGATTGGACCATGCAAAAGCTGTAAAATGATAACAGAGGTAAGGCCTTCCACATCCAGGGGGGTAGCAAATACAGTGTAACTTAGGATAAAGTTGTGCGAAATAAATGGAATTGGGGGCTTACTTTGACATTACTCGTAGTGATTTTTTTAGGTTGATTGTGTTTGGCTTTTGGGAGAACTTTTTTTGCAGAAGAGACCTGCTGTTATGTACAGTCCTGTACTTTTTGCCTGTAGTCCTGGAGTAGCTTTTACCAGCTGATGATGAGATACCACTTTGTTTAAGGGTTGTTACCCCCTTTTCAGAACCACGTTGTTCTGATGATGAGCAACCTTATTGTTTCAAGTGTTATTCATGACTATTTTGTACATTTTCACTTTATTTCAACTTGAGCCTCAGGGATTCTTTTCCCTCTCGAATAAATGCTTCTTCACTATGGGTGAAAAATAAAAAGTCCTTCAAAATAAGCTTTGCTCTTCCTGAGCCTCTTCTGTGCCAGGGCGAATAGCTCTTGTCTGCACTGGTCTGTTCTTAAGTTCATTTTTTCTTGAAACAAAGTGACAGAATTCCCATAGTGTTCCAGATAAGGTCTTTTGTACAAAGTGTTGGTGAGTATTTATACTTTATTCTCTCCGTTGTAAATACCATGATATGTTTAGGGTTGGTAGCCATTTCTGTGATCTTGCTGACACATCCTAGGCAAATTCCCTCTCCCTAATATATTTCCTTCCTTTTGCATTTGTAACTTCTAGCAGGCAGGGACTAATTGGAATTTTTCCTAGGTTTAACCTTTGATTCTTCAACTCTGGTTTTCTTTATGCTCTTCCTACTTTTTACTCCTACTTATGGTTTGTGCTAATTTGTAATTACAGATTCCTGAGTACATTTGCATTTTTTTTTTCCCCCAAGATCGTTCATGAAAGTATTAAAAGGCAAGTCTTGCAGCCAGACTTCTTTAGGAACACTAGTAGTGACTCCTCTGTGGTCATCTACCTTTCAGTGTGGCACACTGCTTTTTTGGGATTTAGCTGCTTATTATCCACCTGATACCTGTTTAATCACTCTCATCTTTGTCTTCACCAATCGTTTCCCACGTGGCACTTTGTTAAAACTTTACAATGACAGTGAGAGTTCTGCCACATTTTCTGTAAGGTTATTGGAGAAAAATAATTAAACAACACAGCACAGTGGTTAGTTTTTCTCTGAAGAAACAGTTTTGGTTGTCATATGCTCTTCAGAAATAAGGTACTGCTGCTTCAGCCTTCAGCTGATAGAGAGATGTTAGCGTCATTTTGATTCCTTGAGAACCAGAGGAGACGTTCCAACACTCATTTTACCTTGATTTAAGCTTTGTGTGTTTACGATTTTACATAACCATAGAAATAACAAGGAAGACATCTTTATGAAAGAAATAGATAAACAAAAAGTTACTTGCAGCTATATTCAGTCATTGGGAGGTGAATGCACTCGGCTGACCTTAGCACCTGTCACCAAGCAGTCAGCAAGGGCAGGTTGGATTCAGTCTGGAACTGGCCCGCCGCTACAGTGCTTCGAACTGCCAAAGTACCTGTCCGTACTGTCCATCCTTCTGATCAGCGTGTTGTAAGCTTTTCATAAGCACTGAGTTACATTTAAGTGGTTCTTGCTCATCCGTTGTTATTACCACCATCAGTCAAGTTTGTACCTGAATGTTTTCCTTTTGTGATTTCTCCTCTGTCTTTAGCCAGTTGTGTCAACTGTTTGCTCACTCTCTTTAGTTGTAGAATACGTGACGTGAACATGTCAAGTGTTCAGAGATTTCAAGTATTTATTTTGGGGGTATATAACACTTGGAGGGATGGTGTGAGTAGCATTTACAGGCATCTTGATCTGGGCATCTGCAAAAGAAGCTCTTCTCATGTTCAGACAAGTTCTTAGTGCAAAAGAAGACCTTCCCACAATCTAAAAGTAAAATCACACTTCAGTTGAAACATAAACTGTGCTACATCTGTTAAGGCCTGAAATGGGTTTCCCAAATCTTGTTTTCATTGCAGCAGCAAAGTAGTACAGGAAGAGGATTTTGGAGCATGTGGGGTGAATGTGCTTTTAGAGCACTTCATGGCTGTTGTGACTTACAATCTTTTTTTTGTGATCTCAGGTGTATTTTCTCATGTCTTGTCTGTTTAGCGTCAGAAACACCCAGTACTGAGAGTGTTTAGGGTGAAGGAGAACTTCAGGCGATTTTATCATTTTAGGCATATAAAGGCCTTGTGATCAGTTCAGCTCTTAGATCTTAATAGCTTCCCTTGTTCATGTGTACACAGAGCTATGTTTGAAGATGTACAGTCCAGTTTTAGGATTTTTATCCATATAAGCCTGTGTGTATTTTCAGAAGTTACATAGTAAAACTAGTAAAGGCCTACTAAACTTGTGTTAAGAGCTATGCTCTGTGTGACACTGGGCGGGGTTGATGTGCAGGAATACTGATGCCAAAGCAGTTTCTTTACATGCTAGGCCTTTCCCTGTCTATACCAGAAATAATTCGTTCAGTTTGTTTAGTATGATAGTGTTTACCATCATCTGGTCTGTGTACATGTGGAGTAATTAATGTAGGTGTTTTGGTGCAGGGCACTAGTTTTTGTACTCATATCTGTTAGGCAGATAAAATCTGATGTTAAGGTTAGCATTCTAATCATCATTTCAACTTTATCAACTTTGAGAATACTACTTATGTTCTTTGCATTTAATACTCTGGTACATTTAATACTTCAGTGAGCTTCATTTGTCAGTATTTTTAAAGGTGATTCAATAGGCCATCCTACAAAAACAGGTTATACCCAAGACTTAACGGAGTACCAATCGATTAATAATCTTTTCTCTAACTATTTTGAGTTCTTTTAAACTATTTGCCAGTTACTAGGTGTAATGTTTTTCATATGATACTTAGAATATGCAACTTCCAAGTTGCTGTCTGCTGGTGATATTCAGGCAAATAAGAGAAAAGGCTTCTTCAGTAAGAGGAGAGAGAAAATTCGTGAAAATGTATCTGGGGAACATACCTTTCAAGCTTATATATATGAGGCAGAAGACTATTTTTTTTTTTCTCTTCTCCATTCTCCCCCTTCCATTCAGTCTGCAGACAGCTTTTCTGGTAGTCGAATTATTTTTAGTTTAGTAGACTTAAAAGTACTGAGCCCTCATGCAGAGTAAACTATACTTCGGAAATCACTCGACCTTTGATAAAAAGTCCATCTTAATAGTTCTTGCATTGAAGTGTAATGTCAAAGGCTATTTCATAAATCTAATGCAAATCGTTCTTAAAGTTTCTAGCTATAAGTAATATATTTTCCTGGATTTTCTTCTCAGCAACCCGATAGCAGAAGGGTCAACTCTTCTGTTGGATTTTCTGTTTTGCAGCATACAAGCAATGACCCTTATTGCTTTGTGGAATTTTATGAACACAGAGATGCAGCTGCTGCATTAGCTGCTATGAATGGGAGAAAAATTTTGGGAAAGGTAAGTTGCTTCCATTGTAATCTTAGATTTAAGGAGTACAGGTTTGTGTAAAAATATTAATAAAACTGTGGGGCATTCATTTTGTTGAAGATGTTTATCAAGGTTAATTGGTGTTAGAATAATATATTAGAAATACTGATTTTAAAGTCTTGCTTAGGAAACATATCGTTTGTGATGTTCTAATTATGACAGCGTTTTATGTTGAGTGATGGTCTGTAAGCATTGACAGTTGTTACCCACCCTTGAATGAACTTACAAAGTGTAAGAATTTTGTGAATTTATACTAAATTTTATACTTATTTTCAGGAGGTCAAAGTAAACTGGGCAACAACACCAAGTAGCCAGAAAAAAGATACATCCAGTAAGTAAAGTAATGCCACAGTATCCCTTCTACACAAATACTTCACAACGTGGTAATAGTTTGTCATAAATGCATTTGAACGTAACTTTTCTTTCCCATCTTGTGTTTAATAGAATTTGCAAACTAATTCTTCTGTTTCTGCTTTACAACTGGGGAAACTGGAGTGGACAGATTAAATTGCTGCTGCTCATCAAATGGAGTCCTGGGTGTTCCTGATTCCCAGTGCTGTGTGCAGAGCATCACTTTCTCAGGAGTTGAAATTTTAGATAGCAGTTAAATATTTGATTAGTAAATTATTTATTTTCAGATCACTTCCATGTGTTCGTTGGGGATTTAAGTCCAGAAATAACAACAGAAGACATCAAGTCAGCATTTGCTCCTTTTGGTAAAATATCGTAAGTATCATGATAAACATTTCCAATATCAGTTAGAAAATGACAGTGAAAATCTGTTTCTGAGTTGAAATGTTATTTCTTAATCTTTTTAGATATCTTTTCTGATGTTAATTTCTTTACATTGGGTGGGCAGTAAAGAGGGGTGGTGGTTTCATCTCGGTATCTATCGTGATTGCGAATGCAGTAATGTAATTGTGCTCCGGTTTTGCTGAAAGCAGTGTGCCTTTGACCTAGTTGATATGCTAATGTCCTTCAACTTTTTATTAAAATTTAATTACTGTACCTAAGTGTGACTTTTTGTTGTTCAGAATGTGTACAGAATAGTGCCTTGACAAGTGGTATATGTTGCATCCTCAGTGTATTTTGTATGCATTCATATTGTGTTTCATAGGCAGTATAGAAAATTGGGCAATTTAAAATATAATTTTATGAGGCAGCTAGTTGAGTAACTTGTGAATGTTTTGAAAAAACCTACTATGAGAATGAAATCTACTTTTTTGGATGATAGCATGGGATGAATTAAGATTATAATATTTAAATGAAAGAATGGTGGATTTATGAACTGTGCACATTTCTGCCAGTTATGAGAATGTTTCTTTAAACTTCTCATAGATAATTCAGGTGATACCAAATCACCTGATGTTTTAATTGAACGTGTTTAACATTACAAGAATCCTTGGGAGTGCTAAAGTATGTATGTCTTTAAGAGTACTGCAACAAAAAAGTCTGTTAATCTTCTATCAATTTATAGAAGTCTTTTAAAGTTGCACATGAACTTTTTTGTACTGCTTTACAGGAATATATTTCTAAGAACAAAATTCTTATTTTTCTCTAGTTCTGTATGCATATTTTTAAATGAATCATAAATCTTATTTCTTACCTCTGCTATTTTGTTTACTTTGCTTTTTGTCTCTTAATGTGGTAAGTAGTACTGTTTAAAAATTGATTTAAAGAGAATAATTCAGGTTTCTGTTTCTCAATCTATATTTATACCTGAGACCTGCAGTTTTTCTAAAGTCCAAGTCACAATTAAAAGTAATAGCATTCTGGTTATTTTGCAGAATTGCTCATAAGAATGGACAGGATCTTGAAGGCTAACTGCAAGGAACTGTGCACACTGGAACTCAGTTGTAGATTTTTTCTCATTTCTATTTATTCTTTTTATACATTATTTATATATACATATTTTAGTATTTACATTTTAACATTCTATATTCAGTGCAGTTCTATATTTCCAATCATTTTAACTTACTCACTAAAATTTCTGTGTAAATTTGTTGTTTTCGTACTGGTGTGCTTAGCATTGTTGTTAGTTTTATTCTCCTTTCTTAAATTTCTGAAAATGTCAATTTTTCAAAATTTACAGCTGCCCAAACAGCAAAATGATGGTAGAGAATTGACCAAGAAAAATAAAGAAATCTGTTAACAGGCCATGTATGCCTTTTAATTCCTATTTTTTCCTCTTTTTCGATTTTTTAATATTTCATATATTTTGTATCACTAGGCAGAAGACATTTAACTATTTAGAAAATGCATGGTAAATTAGATAGAATTGTTACAGTAATTTATAGAACAGTAAACCTTAGAGGACCATAGCCAATAGAATATTAGAAAAGGAAACTTTGTTTCTCTTATACTTCAAATTTGAACATTCTAGTTTTAGCCAGTATAGGTTATGTGGATAGGTTGCATGTTTATTACATGTTATTTTTTTTGTCCTACTGCTTTTTTCTAACAGGTAAAGAAGCAATAGGGAGAGTTCAGGAATGACTGTAGTTTTAGGGCTAACTGAATTTATAAGAAAAAATTATGCTCACAATACAGTGTGTGTGGTTCCTTTTAGTTTTTATTTTGCAGGTTATTAATATTACCCTCATATAGCTGTGCTTCTTTTCACAGGGATGCACGGGTAGTTAAAGATATGGCAACTGGAAAGTCAAAAGGCTATGGTTTTGTATCTTTTTATAACAAACTGGTGAGTAATCGCAGTATAGATGTAAAATAATTGCATATTTTCCACTTTTAGTTTTGCCTCTTTGTTTATATATTCACTATCTATCAGACTTTCCCAAGGGAAATAATTTTGCCTGTGCAGGTGTCGTGGTTTAGCCCCAGACAGCAGCAAAGCGCTGTGCAGCTGCTCACTTGCTCTTCCCCCTGCAGTGGGATGGGGAAGAGAATTGGAAGAAAAAGGCAAAACTCATGGGTTGGGATAAGACAGTTCAACAGAGCAGCAAAGGAAGAGAAAAATAACAATAATACAGCTAAAAAGAATATACAAAGCAATGTGTACACAATGCAATTAGTTCACCACTCGATGCCCAGCCTGCTCCTGAGCAGTGATTCCCTGCCCAGCCAGCTCCCACAGTTCTGTACTGAGCATGACATCATACGGTATGAAAGATCTCGTCTGACTAGTTTGGGTCAGCTGTCCTGGCTCTGTCCCCTTCCAGCTTCCTGTGAAAATTATCACTATCCCAGCTGAACCCAGAACAGTTATCCACTGCTTATTCTATACCATCTGTCTGCCACATTCTATACCATACTGTCTGCCATGCCGGCCCACTCCTGAGCAGTGATTCCCCTGCCCTGCCACCTCCCGCAGTAATACAGTTGCATGGTATGGATTATCCCTTTGCCTAGTCTGGGCTGTGTCCCCTCCCAGCTTCCTGTGAAAATTAACTCACCCAAACCCCAGACAATAGGACAAATTTACTTTTATCAAAAACTTCCGTCATTTGTGGTTAAGGGTTGAAACAGTTCGGATGACAGCGACGCTATGAGAACGCTGTGGGAAAAAAAGATTCAAGAACATAGTGAAAAAAGATCCCTGAACATAGAAACCTTTTCTGGGTGTATTAGGGCAGCTTAGCTTAGTCTGTGGAACCGTCTCTGTTACGATGACTCGAGTGCCTGTCCGATCGGTCATGCGTTGGGTCTCTTGGCTGAGGCGCCGTGCCAGGTCCAGCGCAGTTGCGTATGTTAAGGTAGGAGCCCCTGCGAAATGATGTCCTGGAGCTCTCGGTCCTAAGGAGTGCAGCGCCATGCTACACAGTAGGGTTTGATATTGCCCAGGTTTAGGTTTGTGCCAAAGCTCAGGTCTTCCTGGGGACCCGACACAGCCAAGTGCGCCATACACTGAAGTGTGGCCGGATTTATTTGCTTGAGCTCTGCATCTCAGTCAAATTCTTGGTTGGTCCTTTGCTTGACTTCTTAAAATGTTTTGAATTCTACGATGGTTCTTTGTACTGAGCAATTAATTCGCAGCTAAGAGTAGATTCTGTACTTCTAAAGCATTTTGCTTGTGTACGTTGTAACACTGAAGGTTGTTCCTGGTTTTGTGTTTGGTGTTGCCTAATAGATAGTGTTACGTATGCTTAGGAAAAAAATGCTTCGACAAGTGACTAGTATCACTTTCTGATACAGATATTAAAGACGTTATTTGTAGAATTTAATCAGTATAGTACTGATAAAAATAGTGTTATGCCCTGTTACTTACAGCAGTACAAATGACCCAACAAATCATTCTTGTTAGTTTTGAAGTTAAATGTTCGACAGCGTAAGAAATTTGTGAAAATCATGTGGAAAATCGAGCTTTGTTTTTTAGAGGTGTGTTTGGGACAACATGAGGAAACTGAGTAAACAGTTTTCCTTAAATATTTTTCCTAGGAAAAACACACACGATTAAGGATTTCAGGCATATAAGCCTGTTTGTGTGGTCAGAAGTCCTACATGCCAAGACCCCCTTTGTATTCTGTAACAGCTGTCTGGAGCTGAATCTTAATCAGAAGAAAGCTGGAATTTATTTTCTTCAGATTTGCAAATGCCAGAAGATAATTACAGTTGAATACCTTGATTTAGTGTATTTTTTCTGCTTATGCTTTGTTTATTTTATGTTGCAGCTGAAATAGGCAAGAGGAATAGATGTCTTATTTGCTTGTACCCCTCTTCCCTTACCATATGGTTCTGTGACCATAAGGGAAGTGTTATAACAGTCATATGGAATGCAAGTTGCTGGATTATTTTAAGGCTGAGCCACAAAAACACTGATTAAAAATATGTATTCATTTTGCAAAATTAACGGACGAATTTTAAATGTAATGCTAAAAGGTACTTTTAAAATTTGTGTCCTGCTTGCTGTTTGTTCAAACAGCAGCTGCACCTAGAGGGTTATGGCACAGCCAGCCTAAGCTGGTAGTTTAAGTCCTGTTTTTTGGAATGCATTGTCATCCTGCTGGATTCGGGGAAGCGGGATGCGTTCCTGGAGTTCAGGTATTCCAGCCTTAGGTCTTAATGCACACCGCAGTTAGGAGAAAATGAAACTCCTGCGTTGAACTGGAACAGTTGTGGCACGGGCTCCGTTCCATTTTTGTCGTAGCTATGATCCTCAAGACGGGCAGCAAGATTCCTTAGAGCTAGTTTCCTTTCCTAGTCAGTTTGTAACTTTTTATGGTTTGGGAGTGAAGGTGCAGGAAGAAGTTTTTTGTTGCCTGGTGTTTTGCTTGTTTGTCTTCCCTCCACTCCCGCCCCCCTCATAATTTCTTTTTTGTATTTACGTATTGTCCTCAAAATGAGCACTCTGTGTAATTAGAACTTAGGGGGATCAAGGTCCTGAGTGATTGGAGTTTGAGACAACTCTGGAAGCCTTCTATTTCTTTGATATCCTAAGCTTGGTGTTCTTGGAAAAGCATTTCAAACATGTACCATTTGCTCTGCCTCTCTTCTTTCAAAGTGATTGGGGGAAAAAAATTGCATCTTGCAAGTGTTAGCAAACTTACCCCTTGCTTACTAGATGTTTCTGGTTACAATGTGAACTTAAAGATTATCTTCTAATTCATGCTCAAGAGAAGAAGTAAAGCCATGTGGGCCATGGACTCCTCTGTGTGTTCATACAATGACTTTAGAGAACTTCCGAAGCAGTCTATGCTCAGACATAAATTGGATGCCTCCAGAGGGCAGAACAGAGGATGGGACAGGGGGGTGTGCAAATAATAAATAAAAGGAAACATACACGCTCAATCTGTTTGTACCTCAGCATTACAGTTTCTTAATAACTACCATTCAGCCTTCCCAGAACTTAGGATTTTTCTAACTAAACTTGGCCTGTTACGTTGAGTGCACATTGAGAGTCTGAAAAAAACACATTCAGATCTTACTGTACAATGTCTGCTGCAGACACGCACTGCATGGTGTAAACGTTACTTGGGTTACATCTGAGAAATTTTCAGTGAGGGATTTGGATGATCAAGAAGTCTTTCCTGACTTCTCGTCTGTTACTATTAAATATGCTTTTGTGTATTGTATTTTTAATACAGTCAGTTGGAAAACAAATTGGATTTTTTAAATATGTAATTACAATTATAGTTGTTTTATTTCAGTGATTGCTTCCATTGTCTGTATGTACTTTGTACTTTCTTGGGCAGCCTTCAAATATTCTAATACAGATGCTTGTTGTGTAAAGGTAGTATATGTGTGATTGTAGTTGGCTTCTAACCTGTGTGTATAAAATAGGGGTGAGAGGAAGGTTGTACCAAATTACTTGTGAGGGCCTTCTCTGTAATGGATTCGCTTCATGTTACTTCATTTTTGGCTGCTTGCTGTCACTGTTCAGAATTTCCTATACTTTTTAGTGCTGTTACTGGTTTTGTCAACAGAATTAGCTGACAACAAAGTCTTTTTAGAAGTAGACTTGTATATACTTCTTGTTTGGGTTGTTGTAATCTTTATTTTAATCTCTTTAGGATGCAGAAAATGCTATTGTACACATGGGAGGCCAGTGGTTGGGAGGCCGTCAGATCAGAACTAACTGGGCAACACGGAAACCACCAGCACCCAAAAGTACACAAGAAAGTAAGACCTTCTTGTAATACCATGTTGCGTTTGCTGTCTTGCACATCACTGTTCAATGGAGAAATAAAACCTAATGTTGCCCAATTGATGTCACTTAACCACATATCTAGCTTGACTTCCAGATCTTGAAGAATAGATTTTTTTTTTTTTGGTGTAGTATATCAACGTAGTGGTGGTACTACTGGTCTATCATAAAATGCTGGATGTGTTTGTGAAATGTGTAATTCATACTTGTGTGCATGGTAAGTATCTGGGACTCTGGTTACTCTTAGCCTACTGCTTAAATGAGCCTTCTCTCTTTGTAGATAATACAAAACAGTTGAGATTTGAAGATGTAGTAAATCAGTCAAGTCCAAAAAATTGTACTGTGTACTGTGGAGGAATTGCCTCTGGGCTAACAGGTATGATTTGCTCTATTGCTTTTTTTATTACTGAAGCTGCTTGGACACCAAGATGGTTACTAATTCAAAAACATTATGTGTTGTAGATCAACTTATGAGACAGACTTTTTCACCGTTTGGACAGATTATGGAAATAAGGGTGTTCCCAGAAAAAGGTTACTCATTTGTCAGGTATGGACAGAGAAAAAATAAAATCTGTGATATTGTTAATGTAGTAATGTTTCCTCATGTGTCTGTAATTTCACTTGGTGGAACTTCTGTTGATACATTAAAAGCTGTCGCCATATGTTCATAGAAAAATGTTGAACTTTTAAAAGTGGCCACCAATCTTTTTACTAGAGTAGATGAGTATCTGTGAAAGCAGATCTTTTTCTCTGGATTTCCTGTATGTATGGATTCAGTGGTTTTTAACAATCAGATGAACATACTATAAAGGATAACATTAGTTTGTTTTTACATTCTCTAGATTTTCAACCCATGAAAGTGCAGCACATGCTATTGTTTCAGTTAATGGAACCACAATTGAAGGACATGTTGTTAAATGTTACTGGGGTAAAGAATCCCCTGATATGACTAAAAACTTCCAACAGGTAAATGCCCTTTAACCTTTTCATTGTATCACAAAAGCAATTGTGTATATACCGTAATGCCTTCCCAGTTATAACAGCTAAATTTTGCAGCAGTGTTCTTATGAAATTCCGTGTTCTGTCTCAGTTATGTTCCAGTTGTTCATCAAATTGGGCTAGTGATTTTGGTGGAATATCTGTTACTGTCTTCGGAATATGATTCAAGATAGGGAGAAACTTGGAGGTAATACTGATTCTTGCTAGTTCACTAACTGCAGACTAGGTGACTGCCAACCAAATATTCTTTGATATTTCAAACACACAGAAATATGTTTTTCAGTACAAGGTTCTAATTAAGTTACAGTGATGTCTTCCTTATTTTTCTAATGTCATTATTGCTCGTTTTAGCCCTGTGATTGATACAGCCAAAATTTTGCCTTCAGCAGCACAAAAGGAACATCTCTGGAACATGAAGTACTGTGAATTATTCTCTCCTTAGGTGGATTACAGTCAGTGGGGGCAATGGAGCCAAGTATATGGAAATCCGCAACAGTATGGGCAATATATGGCTAATGGGTGGCAAGTACCGTCATACGGAATGTACGGCCAAGCGTGGAATCAACAGGGTTTTGGAGTAGAGTGAGTAGTTATATTAAATTCTATAGAATATTCCAAGAGTGTTGTATGTGTGTTTTGAGCTCATTTGGTTCAAGGATTGCACAAGGTTTCAAGCCTTAGGTGGACTCCTAGGTGCTTACGGCTTGTGTTTAATGGTTACCATGGACCGAAAAATGGGGTGAGTTGAGTCACTCTGACTTGTACTCGATCATGCATTTTTATGTGTATGGGTGTTCGGAGAATCAAAGCACAAAGAATTTTTCTGTGGTAGACTTTTGGATGGTGGTCTTGTCTGATATCTAAAGATTTTCTGGATTCTGACTTCAGGGGGTGAATTCTGGAGAGTCTGAGCCAGGAGCCCTGGGCCTAAAGGGCTCATAACCCTGGAGAGGAGAAACGGCATGCTGACGCTTAACTTGTGCGGTTTCAGCATTTGGGTGGGCTTTTAATACTTGGTCACTTGAAAACTGAAGTCGTCACAACAACTTTTTGTTTTAATATACATTTAGAAAACTTCTTTGTTGATGTAATTCTTCATTATCTCTTGCCAATTAAACATAGTGGGCCCTGATAAACCTATTACTGGTATTCATGCCAGTTAGGCATTGGGAATTTTTTGCATTTCTGCGTCGCTGATGTTGACTTACAGCCACCTGCCTATGTACATGCCTTTGGAGGCGGTTGTCCTATGCAACTAGTGCCTAAGGTTTGTGGGGCTTTTTTCTTCTTTGTTCTTAAAAAGCTTATGATATTTTCAAGAATCACATCTTGTAGCACTTAACCTGAATTACTCATTAAATAGAGGCAGAAATTGTTCTATTTTGGTGTGAATAGTAGCATAGGAAGTATGTTTTTATGTTCTTTGTTTTAGTCTTGTCTTGTAGATAACTTGACTACTTGCATGATTATTTTTTTTAATTTTTTTTTTATTCTCCCTTTCCTTTTTTTAACCATCCTGTTTCTTTTTAAGCCAATCTCCATCTGCTGCCTGGATGGGTGGATTTGGTGCTCAGCCTGCCCAGGGACAGGGTGCTCCTGTAATACCTAACCAAGCTGGATATGGTATGGCAAGCTACCAAACACAGTGAGCTGGGACTCTGTTTAAAAGTGTGTATTTCATGATAGGCTGCAGTTTCCAGTGACATTCTGAAGACTGGAATGTAGACAATGAAAAAAAAGAAAATATTTATTTTAAAAATGGAAATGTTTGGAACCTTTAGCACAGCTTTGCTTTGGTGAAGGACACAAATGTCTTCTAGTTCTGCCTTTTTAAGTTTTTGTTCATGATGGATATGAACATGTTTTTCTTTGTGTACAAAAATTAAAAATAAAGTCAATAAAGACAATTCTGACTACAAATTTTGATATAGTAGGAGAAATGGCTAATGAATTTGATTTTTAGGTTACCATTCCATTTTTGTGTTCTATCTTCAGTGTTTTATATCACTGTGCTTTTTAAGAGATAACGATGATGAAAAACAGCAAGTTGCTTTTAGTTGAACACACATCCTGAAACAAACTGTGGACCAATCATTACAACCTGCTAGACAGTATTGATTTTTCAAGAAACCTATGGGCATAGCTCAGAAAGTGTATGTAGGTCTTGGAATAATTTTTTTAAAAAAATATTTAATTTTTCTACATGCTTAAAGAAAACAGTCTGAAAGAAAGAGTAGTTCAGTCTACAATGAAAAACAGTACTGTCTGAGTAGTTTCACGTAACTTTTACTGTCCACATTCAGGCACACATTAAAACTTTTCAGAGCTGGTTTGCCTATTAAGACTGTAGCAATGTGCATTTAATTTTGAGAAGTAAAAACATTTTTGCAAGTATGTTGTTTGTATTCAACTCAGTCATACTTGTGCTTTTACATAAAGTTTGAAGGCTACACATTGTAAATATTTCATAATTACAGTGTTTCAAAAGCATGCTCAAACATAGAAGTAGCAATGTAATTATTCAAAGTAATACTTAATATACTCTACTGCTTTAAATGCAGTAGATTGACAAGAATGTGCAAGACTGACATTTCCAAAGTTGGCTATTATGTAAAGTTACATAAAGAACTATAACAAAGAGCCTTAATTTTAATTTCATAAATCTTTAATGCATCACCTTTTTGTCATTAGAAATACGAATTTTTTGCTTTACGTTATTTGGTATGTAAATACCTTGGTTAACAACCTTGTAAACCTATTTCAAGGTTATTATAAGTTGTATAGTATCTTGAGTGTTTTGAAAAATCTCGATGTTTTTTAAGTCTAGAAATATTTTGCCCAAGAATTTTTTAACAAGATTGTTAAAAACATCTTATTTTAGAGAATATTCAATGTGCCATTTGGTAAATGGAGATGCAGTTGAAACAGTACACTGAGTTGTGACTTATTTTTAATTAAAGTTTTTTGTCTTTATGGGTGGTTTGCATGTGATGAACCTGTACAGAGGCTGGGTTGTTTGTGTACTGAGTGTGTAAATGGATAAATCACGAAGATGTTTAAATGGTATACCTGGGTTATTTCTGAATTATTTTATGGATACGTTGATATGAACTGCCTCAATAAATTCAAAGTTGAAAATGAATGTAAGTTAGAGATAAGTACTGTGTCTTGCCTGTGACAGCTAGGGGGTGCAGATGTTCCAGCTGTCTGCCGAAATACCCTGAGGCAGGCATGGTTTAAAAAAATAAAGTAGGATTTGCAGTGATAGTTCAGTGATGCAAACTTGCATTTTAAAAGAAACGGAATGTTTGAGTTCAGAGGTGATAGCTCAAAATGAGCTTCTGAGGCTGCATATTTTATCTTTTCTGTTTCTTACCATGCAGGTGTTGCAAGTTAGAATAGATTTTGAAATGGAAACTTGCAGTTGTGTTAAACCCAGCCAGGCTGTGCAAGCAACTACACTTAATGCTGTAGCAAATCACGTGAGGTTTTTTTCGTCCTCTTCTACTTGACATGCTAAATAGTACCTTGACTTTTAGATCAGGTTGAAAGTGAGATATAGTGGAAGAGCAGTTTAGTCAGTTGGCTCGGCTGTACCCAGAGGTACTTGTAACTCTGGGCATCTAATGCATGCAATAATGACTGAAGTTAGTGTGGAACCAGAAGTGCTTGTGATGACAGAATTGACCCTTTATCTCTGTTTCTCCTTTATGGTATACGTAGTGTTTTTCCGGTCGAGTTAGGAATCTTGTCTACAGGACTTCTGTTTTTCTATGAATTTTGTATATATGTGTATATCTGTGCGAGAATCGGACTATACATTGCGGTTTGGAAAAAAAAAATCACAAGTGAGTCTGCAATTTTGTTACGTTTATCCAGTTTAAAAAAAATTAAATCACAAGTCAGTAGATACAGGAATTGCAAGTTACTTTAGGATTTCTTAGACATCACTTGAAATCTGGGGTTTCTACATAATTGTAGGTGTTTGACATATGACTGTGTTCTGGATGCATGCTGGTATGTAAGCAGTGTGTCCTTTAGGCGCTACTGAAGATTTAGATGATGCAAGTACATTGCCACGTAAACGCCCGTATAAATGGGTGTGAGATTAAGGCAGTGATCTTTCAGGTCTCAGTGTAGATGATCTTAAGCCTGATTATTTAATATGCCTGCTGTAGAGCTGGGCCATACCTGACCTGTATTTCAGGATGAAAGATAGGATATACTTTCTCATGTAAGTCTTCTGTCATTGATTTTTATACAGCTTTTCTTTAATGGTGGTATTTCTTCGCAGACTGCTCAAGATATAGGAGTCTCCAGTGTCCTGTAATGTTTCTATAGCACTGCGAGGAAGAGTTGTAATTTGGATTGCTTTCTACCCGGTAGCGTTCACAAATGCATCACAGACAATTTTTTGGCACCAAAGAGCCTCTTGCACCATACTGCTTTTATGAGTGACTGTTACACTGTTGTAATTTCTCTAACTACAGAAATCAACCACTACCTAACCCCTTACCACTAGGATACGGATTTCAGAAAGTATTGATTTATCATGGCTAAAGTTGATGCGTGCAACCTGAAGCAAGGTTGTAATCTGCATTTGCAGAAAATGTTCAATAAAAGTGAAACATGATAAAGGGCTTATCCTGTATTGTCATCTGTCAAAACATTGTCCCTCTGCTGTAGAGCTGACAGCAGGCATACAAGGTGGAACTTGTAAACTATGCACTTGCAATCGTGTGAAAGGTGTTTTATTTAAAATTTTTCATACGAAATCATTTTGTATTTTGCAGAGTTGCAGTAGTAGGGCTGTAAATCTAAGGTTACATGTAGCTTTTCATCAATCCTGCCTCCTTGTGTATATTTGCTAACAGTTTTCAGACGTACTCTTCCTGCAGAACCGTCTTTCTTACTAAGTAACTTTGTGAGACAGCTATTCACTGTATCAGAACCATTTTCATTTCACTTGCCAAAAGTGTCTCTCAGTGAATAAGGCTTAGTTTTGCAGAAAATTAGTGATTTGTTTTTCTTGTGCTTGTACACAAGGAAGCAGATTTGAACTGCGTGGACATGATTAGTGTCTGATAGTTCTTGATTATCTGACTGTTTTTGAACAAGGGCACAAGTCTTTATTTTAATCACGTGGAACTGTTTCCTGGTCAGCAATAAAAGATTTTGTTGCACTGTTCTTACATTGCAATATAACAGGCAATCTTTTATTCAGTATACCTAAAAAAAAAACGGGTGGGGTTTGTAAAGAACTGCCTTGTTCCAGCTTGAGTCTTTATATGAAGATAGAGTTTAGGATCTGGATTGCTACCGCAATAGCAAAAGGGAGTTATACTTTTGAAACTGAGTGAGAATTATTTGTTCTGATCATGTGGTGCCTGTTCAACATTGGTAGATTTAAGGGTTTCGCTATGTAATAATGTTTCTGTTCATAAAAAGGCAACTGCAAGGCAGTAGCTGCTGGGAGGATCTTTGTTGCATTTCATTTCAGCCAACTTTCCTGAATCCATTTGATTGTTTTTTAAAAAAATTAGAGATATTTGTGTTTTTCAGTATCACATGGATAAAATCCCTCCCACCTTTACCATCACTTCAAGTTAGAGAAAATGCTGAAAAGTTTACTGAATGTTTTACTTTAAAAAGAAACAGGACTTTATGTTGACGAGTGAACGCTGATTCTGTCATCTTTCTGGGGATGTGTGCTGATCTAGATCATGGATGTGAATGACATGCTTTGCTCACTGACATTTAGAGGGTAATGACTCAAAGTTAATTTGACATCAGTAGGGATTATTTGAATACAAGTTATTCTTGCTTAAATATGCAGCCACTTATGCTTTTATTAAAGCTGACCTGAATCTTCTGGGTTATTGAAGTATTCTTGATGTGCTGTGGGAAGAAACATTGCTTTACCTTGTATCTTGGTATTCAAGCTGTCAGTAAGACATCAGAGTTACATAGACAGTGGGTTTTTGTTTAGAAGAAAACCATTTAATGGAGTTGTGTCAGGGAATTCCGTGCAAGCTGGCTTTTCTGTAGCGATGGGTATAGCATTTGAATGTTTCCCTTGGAAAACAAGGGATCAGTCGCTGTTCTTTGCATGAACCCAGGTTCTCACTGGTCCCAGATACTTGGCAGCTGTCTGTCCCAGCCGCTTGCAGGGAAAGGAGGAGGAGGAAAGGGAAGAGCAGTGAGACTAGGTGGTGCATGTGCCAGACTAGTGTGCGTGATGCAGCAGCATCAGTGTCAGCTCATGTTGTCAGACACATTTAAAATCATGGCAGGCTTAGCCAGATACCACGGCAGTACCCAAAGGGCTGTGGCCATTCAGACACAAGTGTGCTTTATCTCCTTGCTTAAAATAATGTTGCTTTAAAATTGCGAAAATAGAAAATGCGTAACCTTTGGCCATTTTCTTTTTGGTTCCTGAGCAAGTGGATGCAAGGCAAACAGCCAAGCTAGAATACCTAAGTTGACTAAACAAATAAAGAAAACTTAAAGTAACAATTGCATTAAGCATCTGGATTTGTAGACCTTTGCTTAATTTAGACTTGTTAGCTTGGCGTTGTATTGTTTGCATGTATTGACCCTTTTGTTTGTACAATTGAGGTAGTTTGTGCTACGCACAGCTGATGGTTGAATGTCTTCCCATTCTTTAAATATAGAATTTCTGGAGCAGGGGTGGGCGGGAGTTGCACAAGAAGCACAAAGTCTACCACATGAAACACTGAATAATGCTTACGTTTCCTAGATGGAAATTGACTTACTAGTGCCAACTCCGTAGAAGTTTGAGTGTCACAGGTGATGATGAAAAGCCACCATCCTCCATCTGGGTAGTTCTTTGACCTTAATAAACAGAGAATTATTACTGGGGTGCTGTTCCATGAAAAATGGTCTTTGTGGTTTCATTG